AATAGTAGCTATTTTGGAAGGTACAGTTGAATCCACAGGTCAAACAACTCAGGCTAGGTTTGTGACATTAAATTTATATACTATTCTTTTTTTAAATATAATCACATGTTGCAATGAGTGATTTTTTTTTATCAGGACTTCATATCTCCCAAATGAGATAAAATGGGGACACCGTTTTGAAGCTCTTTTATCCTACAACTTGGATAGGCAATGCTATGAAATAGATTACAAGAAATTTAACAATACTTCAAAAGTAGCTACGCCACTGTGTTCTGCAAAAGACTTAGATGAGTTATACATGGTTCAATCAGAAATTAGTGAAAGCAATATAATATCATCTGATCAAGAAACCGATAATCGATAGTTTTGTAACATCTATACTAAAGTATACTGAATATACTATAATATGTGGCTATTATAAAAAAAAAATTATAATTCTATTTAAAATATTTACCCAATTATTAGAAATTCTATAATATTTATTGTATTTGAATTATTAATAATATATATTTGTACAATTTTTAGTTGTTTTAAATAATAAAATCATTTAAAAATTGACTTAGTAAAATTGTACAAACAATTTTTATTGAATTTCCGTTATAGTTAAGAATATTTATTAATACTTGAAGTGATAGAAGATAGAAATTTAACTCAAATTATTAACTAAATAAATAAATTATAATATAATTTTTAAACTTTAATTTTAAAGTGTGATAAACATTATTTTAAATTGCAATATCTTGCAATATCACTAAATTTTACTGTTTTAAAAGCAAAACCTTCAAAATTTTAAAACGGATTAAAAAATAATAATCTTTAGTCATTCTGTAAATTTTACTTACCTTAAAAAGTAGTTTTACAAAACTATATTTTGTGATATGTTGAATAAAATCACTGAATCACATTTCACTATAACATTTAAATTCACTTTTTTACCACTCTGACAGTTACACAATACAATTAGCGGCCATGTTTACTAATTTCGGAAGCGGAAACGTTCTTTTTACTTTATTCAAAATGGATATCGTAAATGAGGTTTTAGAAAAATCAGCGGAAGAAGAAAAAAAATACAAGCCTACTAAAGTTAATAAGCATTTGGAATTAGAATACGACTTAGGAACATTATTAGCTATTGACGAAAATGAATTAAATAATGATAAATTAAAGTAAGAAAAAAAAAAATTCAAATCAAACCAACTAAGGTTAGTATAATAGTGTGTAAATATAATTAAGGTAAAATTTTTTTTAGGTCTAATCTTGACACTTATCTACACTCTTTGGCTAGAGATAATACTCAATTGTTGATTAATAAAATATGGGAATTGCCAATTCATATTATAGATGATGTTACAATGGTCACATTGCCTAAATCAAAATATTTATTACCAAGATCATTACCAGTCCCTCCTCCTCGACAACCTTCAAAATGGGAAAAATTTGCCAAAGAAAAAGGGATAGTTAAAAAGAAAAAAGACAAATTAAAATGGGATGATGAGTTAAAAGTTAGTTTTATATGTAGTTTATTTTTTAGTAACTAGTTATATGTTAATTTTTTTGAATATTTTGTTTTTGGTTTAAAAAAAGATATTAATCAAAAGCGGTGTCTGGTTTATAACTTTTATAACAATATTATATTTATATAACATTTTTTAGAAATGGATTCCCTTGTATGGTTATAAAAGAGCAGAAGCAGAAAGAGAAAAGAATTGGATTATGGAAGTTCCAGACAATGCTGATCCATATGAAGATCAATTTACTAAAAAGCCGAAGAAAAAGTGAAAAGTAGCTAAAAATGAATTTCAAAGGCTCAGAAATTTAGCGAAAGCAAAAATATTAAAATACCCAGATTAGGATTTACATCTTCTTCCAAACCTTCAGCACTACTTTAGGTATTAATATAAGGGTAAATAATTCATATTATAACCTTACAAAATTTTAATACATGCGATAATAAATTTTAGGAGCTGCTGTTACAGTAGCTAAAACTTCGACAGCTTCTTTGGGAAAATTTCAAAAATCTCTTCCTAAAGAAAAAGAAAGTAAAAATGTTAAGCCTTTCTTACCAGAATCAACTAAACGAAAGCGACCCATTCCCAAAACTAAAGATGAAATTAAAAATAATTTAAAATTAGTCGATAATATTTTAAATAAAAAACCCAAATTGAATGTTGAACAAGCTGTAGAAAAAGAAGTTCATGCCCTAAATAGAGAGTAAGTCAATATTTTTTTGTATTAAATTAAATTTATATGCATTCGAATAATATCTAAATTAACTGATGTGGGTACTTTATTTTTAGGGAAGCAAGTAAGCAAAAACCTAAAAAAAGAGAAGGAAGGAAAGTTAAAAAAGGTGCAAAAGGTGGTAAATATCGTGGGCCTAAAGCAAAAGGTTCATCAGAATTTAACAATAAAAAAAATTCTCGAAAACCGGAAACCGGAAAACCTAAAAAGCGCGTTGGTGGAAAAGTCAAAGGAGGGAAAAAGAGAAGATGAATTTTTAAGCGAAACTAAAATCCATTTTGTAATTTTTACTCAGTTAAAAACAAGTTTTTTTAATGTAATTATTCAGCTAGTTATTCTAGCTCTCTATTACTTAAAATATTTTTTAAAATATGTAAAATTTATAAAGAACATTTACGTCATTAAAAAATTGAAAACTTGATGTATATTTGCGTTTGAAATGTTTCCTCCATTATTAGATTACTATGAAAATCATGAGAAAAATCAAATTTTATATTTTTTTTTTTTATAGTACGATGTATATGAATAATAAAAAAAAATGAAATCTTCAAGTTAAAAGATTTTGACTTAATTTTCCTTGTTTAATTATTTACAAAGATTAAAAATTTTTTATATTTTCATTTCCTTAATAATGGTAATAATAAATTTTTTTTGCTATTAAAATTTTTACAATTTTTTATCATAATAATAATGATCATTAAATACATTATTAATTCAGGCGAGTTTCAAATAGAAAACTAATCGTAATTTGAGGTTGTTTTTCAAAACGATTTTACTACAGGGTAAAAATAAAATTATTTATTTCTCAGGTTATTATTAAAATAAAATTTTTTTTCCAACTACTTTGGTTATAAATAAACTAAATTTTTCGTTCGAATACGAAACAAAAGGCACTAATGGTTGGTTGACCTGTCTTAACAATCGCACTGAGAACAAATGATTGATAATGAATCATGTTCTAATAAAAATTAAAAATTAACATTATTATTTTTAAAATGACTGGAAAATCACCGCCCAATATAGATGGAATGACTTCGTTAAAAGTGGGTAATATAAGTTACAGAACAAGAACGTTAGATCTTCATCATATATTTGGAAAATTCGGAGACGTTGGTGATGTTTATATTCCCAGGGATAAACATTCAAAACATAGTAGAGGATTTGCTTTTGTTAGGTAAATTGTTATTTGATACTAAATTTAAGAAAAAAATATTGGATGTACCTTATTTTTTAAAAACTATACTTTCACATTTTTAAAACTTTTTAAAAAAAAAAAGTCGGAAGATGCTTTAAATCTTTAGAAACTTTTTGAAAATTAAAAAAAAAATTTTTTTTTGGACCACACACACGCACGTGAAAAAAAAAGTTTATGAAAAAATAAATTAAAATTTAAATAATTTATTCTAACGCTTAAACATGTAAGATTTATTGAAATTTAAATTTAGTCTTTAAAAATTAAAATAAAGAGCAAAAGTATTTTTATCGTAAGAAGGTGCGTTCAGAAATCTATAATAAATTTTTAATTTCTCACTTCCGCTTGGGTCGGCCATTTTTATTCTTTGTATCAAACGTTCAATGTGCTCGTGATATATATTAAATAATATTTTTGTTTAATTTTATTAAAAATTATCTTTTAAAAAAAATTTGTTTACAATTTTGTGCGTTTAATATTATTTCAAAATGAGTTATGGACGACCTCCACCTCGTATTGACGGAATGGTATCATTAAAAGTCGATAATTTAACTTTCAGAACGACGCCCGATGATCTTCGCCGTGTTTTCGAAAGATGCGGCGAAGTAGGAGATATATATATACCTCGTGATAGATTTTCTCGAGAAAGCAGAGGTTTTGCTTTTGTAAGGTAAAATTTTTAGGATTTTTTCCGTCAATTATTTATGTGTCAACTGGAAATGTAAAACCAAGAAATGGCGTGGTTAATATACAACAAAAATGCCGACCCCGGCTTAATTTATTTTAATAATATTTTGTACGGTCACGTCTAATACTTTTTTTATAATTTTTGTAATATTGTTTAACTTTTTTTCTTTTTGATTAGTAGAAAGTCAATTCTAACTTTCTTTCAGTTTCCATTTATAGAGTATTATCTATCAACTTGTTTGAAAGTCACTTTTTTTTTTTACCGGATGTCTGTGCAATAAACAAAATTGCGTGGGCTATTTTATTTTGTGTATTTCTTTGTGTTTTTGAACTGCCATACTTCTTTATACATGCTACAGAGTATCATGTCTCAAAATACAAGCAATTATTGAATATTACGCAAACATTGGATAAAAATAATAATCTGTACTAATTATTTAATTGCTCTTGATTATGTCACTCGATTGTAATTGTTTACTTAACATGCTCTTTTGTTAAAATTTCAAGTGCTATTTTTTTTAATGGTAAAATTCCGCGTGTAATTGTTAGTATTTGTTAGATTTTAATAATTTAATATTATTTTACAGATTTTATGACAAAAGAGATGCGGAAGATGCATTAGATGCAATGGATGGAAGAATATTAGATGGAAGGGAACTTCGTGTACAAATGGCACGTTACGGTCGGCCATCATCGCCGTATCGTTCTCGTGGACGACGCAGAGGAGGTAGATCACGTTCAAGATCACGTCGTAGATCACGATCAAGGAGTCGTTCGAGATCAAGATCGCGAAGACGATCATATAAATCCTATTCAAGATCTCGTAGTCGTTCCAGGTCAGATAGTAAAAGCTCACATGGAAGATCTAAAAGCAGATCACGTTCAAAATCAGGAGAACGCAGTAGGTCACGTTCCAGGTCTAAATAATCTAAAAAGGTGGGTTTCTATTTCCCAGCCATCTTCCTTCTTAATTTTTTTCATTATTAGTCCTATATATTTCAATAAATAATGTTAAGTGACTGTAATAAAAAAAAAAAAAAAAAAAAAAAAAACAACCAAATGTCAAAAGCAGTTCTTTAATTTACAGTCCTAGTGTTAAATAGGCAGAAAAAATTGAGTTTTCTCTTATCGAAAACTGAATCAATACTTAACCTTAAAGCTTTTAATTTGATCAATTCACAATTTGAAAGAATAAAATAAATGTGTGCTAACATTTCTGTCCCATTTGCCAATATTTTTCCCTATTTTATACAAAGTTTAAAGATTTTATTAAATTTATTTTTTTTTTTTTTTTTTTTTAACTATCAATTTGAAATACTATTGATTGACTTACTTGAAAAATTCAGGTTGACTAAACTGTTGGTGTTTCTTGCTTTTTTTTCCATTGCATTATTATTATTATTATTATTTATAATTTTATTCTTTTTCTAGTTCTTTTTTTTTTTTTTTTTTTTTTTTTTTCTTAAACAGAATATTGTAGTTCAATAAAAGAAAATCTGAAAAAAAAAAAAAACAAATGATAAAATTGTAAATTATAAATACTTTCATCATTAAACACGATATCATTTTTTTTTTAAATGACTTATTAATAATAATATCATTATTATCATTATTAATAATATTTTTAAGGGAAAAATGCATCGATTAAAAAAAAAAAAAAAAAAAAAAAAGGGCTCTGAAAATTACATCATTACAATATTTCTAAAATTTTTTTCAACATTTTACAAAATGAACAATCGTTAGATCATTATAAGATTAAAAAAAAAAAATGGAACATAATTAGCCTATTTAGACACATTTTTATAAAAGAAATTTGTAAAAAGAAAAACTCATCAAAACTTATATATATATATATTCTGCTCAAAACAAATTTTTTTCTTCAACCTTTTAAGAATGTTAATTTTTTATTTGTAATAATAATAATAATAATAATAATAATAATAATAATAATAAAATAATAGAAAGAAGAAGAAATTTATGTTGTTTAATAATAATAAGAAACTGTTTAAAAATTTTTTTTTTTTTTTTTTCAATTAGTAATACAATTTGTGTACGATTGCTACTATTATTAACACTATTAAAATATTTTAATAAGATATGATATGCTTTTGATAATTATTGAATCATTTTAATATCGAAAAAAAAAATACATATATATATATGAATAATTTTTTTTTTTTTTTTTTGCTTTCGATAAATAATATTTGATTTGCGTTTTTATTCGAAACGATTGAAATATTTAGGCGTGTGAGTAAGTGAAAAAATAATAATTTAAAGTAAATAAAACAAGTAAAATTTGGTTTAAACTAAAGAGAAATTTCATAAATCTAACAAAAAAAAATTGAATTTATTTATTTATTTTTTTTTTGTATTGTTTACCTTATGGGATTATGCGATTGTATATAAAAAAAAAAAAATAATAATTAATTGTAACATAGGCGCAGTGGCAGCGTTTGGGAGATGCTGTGCTGCTGTGCCATTCTATTCTCTCCTGCACACAACACAAAACTGTTTTGGCTGATGAACACAGGTGGGTTTCCGGTGTGTGTTCCTGTGCTGACTGAACGAGTTGGGCATTCCTACTACGACATTGCATTGTAAGCAGTACCCAGATTCAGAGCGGTTGGTCTCATTCAATTCATTCATTCACACACACACAGCACAAGCCTTTTTTTCTCCCGTATTCAATGCGTTGTAGGTTAAGTAAGCAAAATTTATTTATAATAATAAAGACCGTAATAGCATAATATAATTTTCTTTTTCTTTATAAGAAAAAAAAAAATTTTAAAATTCTAATTATTATTATTATTATTATTATTATTATTTTGTTCAAGTTTCTATTACTTTGATTTGATTTTCTTTATCTTATCGGAATATTGGCGTTTTTGGTTTTTTATATAAAATAAATAATAATTTTTCTTGCTTTTTTATAACAATACAACTTTTTACCGAACCTACTGAACATTTACTATTGTAAATTAAAACTGTTAATGACTGATAAATTATGTCACGAGTGGGGAAAAAGAAAAGAATATCTTTCTTTGATCTCTTTTTAATAAATAAAAATAATTTTTTTTTTTTTAAACATCAAAAACTTTGGCATGGCTTTGTTAGATATATGGTGTGCATTGATAGAAAGGGAAAAAAATTATTTTTATTTTCACGAAAGTTTTTCTTTTCTTTTCGAACCACAACATAATTTATTGCTATGAACATATTTGCATTATTGATGTACACAGAAGAAAAAATGTCAAGTTTTGTGTCAAAATTAATTTAAAAAAATTTTCTTTTCATAATATCAATAAATTGCTTTTTTAAAAATAAATAAAAATAAATAAAATGTATATAAATAATTTTGGATAAAATTAAAAAATTTACTTTTAAATGCGCAGGCGCAGAAAGGAGCTGGGTGGTGGTCCAGTTAGCAGTTTGCGGAATGCAGACGTTTTTGTTGCTGACGTTGACAGCAGTTTAGCTGATATCAAAGATACAATGTAGCTGTGTTCATCAGTCGTTAGCAGAATGTTTCCTGTCTTTAAGAAAACAACGTAGCTGTGTAATGCCAGCCGTTGTAATGTCGTAGCAGTTTCCTGTTTACCAAAACGCTGCCTCGTTCGTCGAAGGTACCAAGAAGCTGTTACTAACTAAAAAAAAAAAAAAAAAAAAACGTATGATAGGTCAGTTATTAATCATGCTTTGATTTTGGTTTTGGTTTAAAATTTGAATTTAGATTATGAATGATGATCGAACAGGGGTTCTCGAATGTTAATTAAAGTGATAAGGTATCGATAATGAATCATCATCACCCATAAGGGTTGTGATGTGAGAGTTTAAAAAAAAAAAAAAAATTACATACATAGGTACATACAAACATACATACATGGTACGTTTTTCTTCTGACCGTCCCGCATATTTGCAGCCTTACCTTTTTTTTTTTTTTTTCCTGTCAAATTTCTATTAATTGGTGTTTTTAATCAATTGAAATTGAAATTTTTTTATGTCGGCTGTTATTTAAATTCGACTCCACTTATTCACATGAAAAAAAAAAAAAAAAAGAAAAAACAAATTGTTTTAGTATAACAATAATAATAATAATAATATAAAATTAATTATAAAGTAAAATAACGGTATTATTTATTATTCCTATACATAATTTATTTAAATAATAATAATAATAATAATATGGAATTCGATTTAATATTAATAGAAAACGATGACACTTTGAGAGTGAGTGTTATTGTTTAAATTTTTATAACATGTATGTAAAAACCGTTATAAATGAAAAAACATGAAAATGAGTTTTTTTTTTTTTTCAATTATTTGATTCGATTTAAATTTACAAATATAACGATTTTTTTTTTTTTACGAACATTGAAAAACAAAACAAAAAATTATAAATTAAATAAAATTAAAAAACTCACTTAAAAAACACAAAATAAAATGAAATGAAAGACAGAGATTTACGCGGGAACTGAGTAAATAATTAATAAACAAACTAACGGAATCCATAGAGTAATTAATTTGGCGGTTATCGTTTTATGTTAATTGAATTAATTTTGGCAACACTGTTTTTTTTTCGCGACACTAGTACATTATTATTTTTAAGTAAAAAAAAAAAAAAACCAAATATTTTCGAGAGAGAAATTTTTTGTTTCTAAATGAGTAAGTTTATTAAATTATCATTATTACTATATTAATGTTAATAATAATAATTAAGCGTGTCTCACATTATAAAATAATAATAAATTGAAATTTTATTTTTAATTTATTTATAAAATATCGAAAACGTTAATCGACGATTTGAAATTATTATTATTATTATTATTTATCTTTTATATGTTGGTAAAATAAAATGGATGAATATGATTAATAATGTTAGTACATACAGTAAGAGAAAAAAGAAAAATTAAATTATTTTATTTAATTATTACAATTAATAAATTAAAATTAAATTTATTAGCAAATGAATTTTTGTGCCAAAAAAAAAATTTAATTTTTTTTTAAATCTATTATTTTGGCCTCTTACAAAAAAAAAAAAAAAGAAAACAAATTAGTAAATCCATTTTGATTATAATATACATTTATATAAATATATTATTTATAAATTAAAAATATATATTTTAATTATAATATTAATTTTTTTTTTAATGACTAATTAATAAGTCTAATAATGATAAAAAGTGTGTGCAAATTTTTAAAATTAATAATTTAATTAATTACAATATATATATATATATATATATAACAATCACAAATTTTCTGACTAGATAATTAAATAATATTATTATTATTATTAATTTTATTTAAAAAAAAAAAAAATTGTTTTACATTTTTCTTTTAAAAGAAATTATTCTGTCATTTTATTTTAAATTTTATTTTTTTCACAAAACAACATTTTATCTTGTCAACAAGTTACTTGTGATTGACTGATTGATTGATTGATTGATTGATACATAAGAAATTTTTTTTTTTTGTTTTACACAAATATTTTATATAAACAAATTCATAATATTATTTTAATCAATGAAATTTTATAAAGGAAGTAAATGTTATGATAGCATATCATCCATCATTGTTTGCCATCAAAAAAAATAAATAATTTTTAAATAAAT